TCTTTAAGTGACGTGACATATACCACGTTAATAATTAAACATATATAAAAATATCATGTCGACAACATATTGACCGTTAATTAATTTACAATTTCAATCTACTAGGAGAAATTTAAATTAAATGTTAAGACTTTAAATTAAATGTTTCGATTTACCAGAACCATGTTTGGGTTGAAAGACCAGCCTGCAATATAAACCAGATGTTTAGAACCCTCAATGGCCTTGTACACATCCTCCCACAGTTTTCTGGGAGAAGAAAACGGAGGCTGAAAAGCTGAGCTATGGTGGGCGTCTTGATAAAGCTTCACATTACAGTTTGGACGTTGAGGAAACGTAGCATTTCTAAGACCCTGCAATCCACCATGCTCGATCACTTTTGCCCATGTCGGTTCAAATTCAGCTGGTTTGAACCACAACATGAACCTCAGTTTCACGTCTGGGCTGGTTTTACCATTCTCCAGCTGCAAAGGAAACAACCCATTGATCAAGCTCGACTCGTTCAGGATTTGCCTCGCCTGGATGCTGTATTTTCCCAACACTGAACACTTTGTTTTCAATGTAATGGTGATGGTTGCATCAGGTGGATGAGCGCAGAGTATTTGGAACGTTTGGTTCCATACACGATCACGTTCGTAGCTCGTCTTGGCTACCATTGTATTCTCTAGCTTTATCGTCACGTAGGTTGCCTTTCCGTTCGCAAGCATGCACTTCAAATAAACAAACAAGCAAACATTATTTTTTAACAGAACTATAGGTGATTACAAGATAATATATATTTAAAACATTTTTTATCCATTAATAATACACATACCTTTTAAACGTAGTTACTTAAATTCAAGAACTCTAATAAAAATAATACTCCCTTTTACCCATAGATTGATGGCATAATGTCAAAATATGTTCATACTAAAATTTTATTTCATGTATTTTATGGAGCATTTTGAATCCAACATTTATTTTAGGGTAAAACACTTTTGATATTCGACTAAATAATTTCTTTAGCCTCTATTCTATTTTCTTTGAGCAATTTGGCCCCAATGTTTCATTTTAGGACAAAATGACCTATATTTTAGAACGTTAATCATTTGTTGACTGAAGATTGTCATTAATGGAGGGGTTTTTTGCCTCAAAATAAAACGTTAAAGCTAAAAATAATCCAAAACAAATAATAGAGGCCAATCAAAATGACTATTTAATCAAATGTTAGGAATATATTTTGACATTATACCTAGATTAATCTCAGTAAACACGATACAACAAAAAACAAACATTGATTTAAAGAACTTACATTGAAAGGAAACGGAGATTTGTATGGGGTAGCATCGAAAATGGAGGCTTCAAGTGTTCCATACAAGAACTTTTGCTTACCCTTCATTGCTAAGAAACCTTCAAATGAATAACAACAATATCAAAGATGAGAATTGATGAGTTTTGTTTTGAAGATGGAATGGAATAAATGTAATGTGGTGTTTGAGTATTTAACGGTGTTGAGGGTGAAGGGTTGACGAAGCAAAAATGGAAACTTGGGTTGGAGAAACTTGTGAAATTGTCCATTACTAATCGTAGATGCAATGCCCAAGTCTTTGACAAGTTTTTCACTTGAAGCTGAAGGTTACTTGATCTCAAATCACACTTTTCCGGCTTCTCCACCATTAAAAAAAGTTTGAAAATTTAATGATTTCTTCTTACATTTAGACGTATCTCAAACAAAGTAGATGATAGATTGCATACAGCTACGAAAGTTTCTGGTAATTTTTCATAGATTTATTTCAGGATTGACTTTATGATAAGATTAAGTTACACAAGTTTACAGATAGACTTATATATATACGTCTCCCACTTAAGTTAGACGTATTTTTTTAAGTTGGTACATAAATAATTTTTACTTTCAAATTGATCATTGAACTTTAATCTTATGTTATCATGTCATCAAAAGTTAAAATCATCAACAAAAATATCAAAGCAATTGATAGAATTAAAGTTCAAGTATCAATTTGGGAGTAAAATTTTCTTAGACACCAAAGTTGAAAAATATGTCTAATGCAGGTATCAACTTGAAAGAAAATTATCTAGATAACAACTTGAAAGAAAAGTATATAGATAACAACTTAAAAGCAAAATTTCTTTAAACACCAACATAGAAAGATATGTCTAGTTCTAATATCAAATGTATATTTAAATAATATCATCCTAATAAAATTACATGTCTTACGTGTAATTAGAGTCGAGACGAAATTCCAATTATTTTTTTTTTATTTCATCTGTTCTGTTAAAGGTTTGCCTAAATTCTATTTTATTTTAAAAAAACATCACTTTTAAGAGAAACATCAAATGGCGTTATCAATTTGATCAATTAATAATGTTATAAAAGTAAAAGATTGAATTATGTCAAGCTAAAATAGATGGATCAAATCACCAATTATAAAGAGATAAGATAGTAGATCCCTTAAATAAGGTCTATGATTCAAATCTTAACATTGTGAATAAAACGAATCCAATTTGGAAGGTCAGTTAAATAATGAGCACATATTATCTAATTTGGATAAATTGATCAAAAGTATACAAATGGTTATAAAAATTAGATGGATCAAATCTAAAAATTGAAGATAGTAGAGGGACTAAACTCAAAATTAGAACAAGAAAAGTAAAGAAAGGAAAGGTACTTTACATTTTCAGGTACTTTACAACATAATTTTCAATGGAAACAAAGCTTCCAATTAGTTTATTTTTCATAAAATAATATGTATGTATGGTATATTGGTTCTGGCCATTTGCCAACATTTTATTTTTAGCAGACCCCAAAACTATTTTACTTGAATGGTTTGCAAAAGAAGGAAATTGTGAGAAAAAGAAACATCATTTTCTTCCTTTTTATTTTAAAATCTTTTCAGACACCACATGTTATGCAAAGAGAATGTCTACCAGCATATTTAGAGTGATTTGATAATTTAGTATAAATCTTAAATTTTAAGAGAAAATAACCTTAGTGACCGAAAATGCCTTATAATATACGATTTTAACCAACTTTTTTTGGATTTGCCAAAATGACCAACAAATTCGCAACACGAACTCTAATTTCGCAACCCAGTTTCCAATTTCGCAACACGAATATGTAAATCGCAACACGAATAAGTAAATCGCAACACGAATTTGTAAATCGCAACAAATATGTCAAATTCGCAACGTGAATCTGTAAATCGCAACGCGAATTTGTAAATCGCAACACAGAAGTCAAATTTGCAACACAAAAGTCAAATTCGCAACGCGGAATTTCAAATTCGCAACTGAATTTCGAATTCGCAATTGAATTTTCGAATTCGCAACACGAATTTAATTTCACAACATGATTTAGTTTTGCAACACAAATGTTTTGGGTATATAACAACGCAGCAGCATCAACTCATAACCTAAATCCCTAAATCGCAACTCATTCCATCTCCATCTATCACTATCTCCAGCGACATCCGTTCCTATATCCAACGACATTGTAGATACTCGATTTATCCGGGGCTAAGTCGGAGCAGACCCGAAGCAGAGTAGTTGGAGGCCCAATCCAATGACCAAGCCCAATCCACGTGAAATCCTAAAAACTAAAAAAAACGGTTATTGGGAGTTAACCAAAGCAAAGTGGAGGTGAGGGTCGGTTCTTAGGCATTAACCATCAGATACAGAGAGAAAAAACACAGACACGGAGGGAGATTATAAAAAAACAGAGGAGATACTTGAGCCGAGAGAGACCATTACGAGAAGAACAAAGATTTTTATTTTTATTTTTTTAAACACAAAAAAGCAACAAAAGAACAGTGCGTGTAAAAGTTTTATTTCCCATATTCAGAGATCAAACGGTGTAAACAACATTCCTTCCCTGTATTCTAAGCACAAGTAGTGAATTTCAACAACAATACTATCACAAGCAGTGAGTTTCGAAAGCTTACTAGCAACTCATAAACATGTTTTCCTTTATTTTATTATCATTATTTATTTCATTTATTTAACTTTGAAATGTTCATTCATGTATGAGTTTTGTAATTCTTCTTTCGAAACCTAGAAAGTAAGAAGAAAAAAGAATCAGAGAATTACTTTAGTTGTGCGACAGTAGTCTCGGTGGGATTCGACTGATAGAGATAGGGACTGGGGCTAGAGTTACAGATCCAATCAGAGATTAAAACAGAAAATATTAAAATAAATTAGAAAAAGGCAGTAAGAATTTGTCCATAGAAATGAAAACCCAAATGAAAATTACCTTTCTTCTTCGTCGATAAGTTTCTTTCTGTCGTTGGGAGACTGTGAACGATAGAGGGCTGCGATGGTTGCTTTATTTCGGTAGAGGTTTTGGTCATTACCGTGGCCGTTGAATATGCTGACAGATGAAGAGAGTTTTGTAATTCTCTGTTTTCTATCGATAAGGAAGGGAGAGAAGTAGAGATGGAGGGTAGAGAGCTTGAGCACGTGATTTACTTAGGCATTTAGGTTCAGTGAGTTTAGCTTAGATATTTTAGTTTAAGATTCATAGTTAGACATTTGGGTTAATTATTTTTTAGTCACTATGGCTTTAGGATATAACCTGTTATTTGGTCCTTATAAGGTTAGCATATTTTTTACTTTAGTCACCTTTAAGAATGCTTTTGAATTTAACCTTTTGTGTTCGTCCTGATTTCGTTATTTTTCCAGTTGTAATTTTAGTTGTAATTTCATTAGATTATTCATGTTTAAATCCCTTATATTTATGTGTGTTTTTATTTAAGTCTCTGGTTTAATTTTTGATTTGTATGTTTAATTTTACATATATTTAAATTTAGTCATTATTTTAACATGTAAATATACATTTTTTTAATTTATAGTTTAACATGTTAAGTTTTTGTTTTTATATTTGAGTCATATTTGTACATAATATGTTAATATGCATAATTTATGATTTTTAATTAAAATATATGTATATAATTTTTTGTATGTCACGTTGCATAATATTTTTAATTTTGTTTAATTAATTTTGGCATGACATCCACTTTTTGCATAATTTGTATGATAGCCTCACGTGCATAACTCGACCTACTACATAATCGGACTAAGGGTAATACCCTTTTAATTTAAAATTATTTCGAGTGGTCTGTCTTAACTAATTAGAGGGCCGTTTTGACGATTTTAAATTAAAAGTGTATCCCGAAAGTGAAACCAAAAAATTGATTTGTCACCTAAAATTTGGGAACGAGAGAAAAGGAAATGTTCGTTTATTTAAATTTATCGAGAAAAGGTTGTTATATCTTTAAGATCTGGTCTCGATATTTGTAAATAATCGAACATTCTTTATCTTTCTAAAACGATTTGGTAATTTTAATTTAATTTATTTGAGTGCTTTTGAGTGTTTTTAAATTTACATCTTTGTTTTATAGGATCAAAAAATCAAATTAAATTCGAATTTGTAAAGTTCAATGCAAGGACGTTAATTAATCGACTAGGTACCAATTTAGGGCGTTGTGGGGGTGCTAATCCTTCCCTACACGTAACCGACTCCCGAACTTGGATTTTGGTAACGCAGACCTTAATTTGTTGTTTTAATTAAAATTAATTTTTATTTAAAATAGCAAACATTTTTTGGTGCCCAATCACACCCTAATCAAAGATTGGTGGCGACTCTTCGAACCGTATTTTTCGATCGTAAAGGAAATTCAATATTTTTCGAAACGAGAGGTCTTTTAAATCACATTTGTTTTTAAATTAAAAAGAGATAATTAAGAATTAATGTGGTTTATAAAATCTCACACTTAAAAGAAAAAATCGTTTCGACAGCTTGGCGACTCCGCTGGGGACATTTTTTTAGAGAGTCAAGCCGATAGTCGATTAATTAATTGTCTTTGCAATTGAAAATTACAAATTCGTTTTAATTTGGTTTTTGATCCCTTGTTTGGTTTTTAATAAGTTTTGTTTGTATTTTTTTTAATTTAATTCGATTAACTAATAAATAGTTGTACTGATTTGTTTGCTAATGGTTCAGATTAATTGTGTGAATTTAGAAAATTTTGAGTGTTTTTTTATTGTGTGTTTTTTTCGCTTTTCCTCACACACTGCACAACTGCATTGTCATAACATGAGCTAAAACTCCGCTCCGTCCTATTTAAGTAGGAGTGAGAGACTATGCCCTCGTGTGGTTTCCACCTCCGCATGGGATAGTGGACCGCTTATGGAGCTCACGCCTTATGGTCCTCGTGATGGTAATCACCTCCGCATGGACATAAGGAAGTATGTTCCCTCGAAATTGAACTTGATCCCTTAAAGCCTGTGATGGGCCAGGATTGAGGGTTCGACAGCCCAAGGGGGCACCGACAAGGACAATTCGAGAACCTATTACTTTAGAACCTAACCCGGCATATAGTGAACGTAGAGCCTGAACTTAGGTTGAACCAAACCCGAACCTTAAGAATCCCGTGAGGAGGGTACACAAGGAAAAGCTTTTTTTTTTTAGTTATTTATTTTTGTTTTTCGAATAAATGCATGCAAACTAGATATCATGCGGTTAGGTCTATTTTTTCGAATAAATGCATGCAAACTAGATATCATGCGGTTAGATTTATTTTTTGAATAAGCATGCGAATTAGATATCATGCGGTTAGGATTTCTTTTTGTGAATAACAAAGCATGGGGGTAGATATCATGTTGGGTAGGATCTGATAAAGCATGATTGGGTAGCCAACATGTGAGTAGGATTCTTGAACAAATTATTATCCCAACTTAATTGCTTTATGTTTACTAACTGATCTTTTGTTGTCTTTGCTTTATTTCTTTTCTGTTTTGTATTGCAATGTCCATTACATGGTGTTGATTTGGGATCGATGTCCATATAGAAGGCCAGTAATATGGAACGAACGATTCATAAAGAGGCTGAGGACTATGCCAATGTTCTGAGGTGGTCAGAACAGTCCCAACTGACCAATGGGGACAGTGTGATGCCTGGATACGTGTCGGAGTTATTTGGTTATACTCACATTAGCGTGCGTCAGAATGATCTAAGTGAGCTAAAGGAGATATGGGGAAGATGGACAGTAGCCGATAAGGAGATATTTTATCAGTTGTACGGCGATATTCCTTATCTTCTGGATGTTCCTATTGACCAAAATCTGTTTAGAGCATTGGTGCAGTTCTGGAATCTGACTTATAGTTGTTTCACATTTGGTAGAGTGGATCTAACACCAATAATAGAGGAGTATCAAGCTTTGGTCCATTGTCCGAGGTCCCAGATAAATAGAATATATACCAAGCTGCCAGTCACTCATTCGTTTAAGAAGAAATTACTATTGATGACCGGAATGAGTGGAGATTGGGTAATCAGAAACATTAAGAAGAAGGGAGAAAGTGAGTGTATCTCTTGGGCTGCTTTGAAAGAAGTAATTAATCATCACCCTAATAAGAGAAAGAAGCTTGACTTGTTTGCTTTAGGGATTTATGGGCTCGTTATTTTTCCAAAGGTGTTAGGATATGTAGATGTATCAGTCGTTGACCTGTTTGAAAGATTAGACAAGCACGTGGATCCTGTTCCAGCCATTTTAGCTGAGACGTTCCGGTCTTTGAGTTCTTATAAGCGCGAAGGAGAATGACACTTTATAGGGTGTGCGCCTTTGTTGCTAGTATGGATTATGAGTCATTTCAAACATGTTGAAAGAGCACCAGGACGAGTGTTTCTAGAGGGGTTTTCGCCTTTGAAGGATTTTCTTTCTAAAGAATGGCCTGGGGGCTTCACCGAAGAAAAATGGATGGTCATCTTCAAGGATATCAGAGACGGTGATATTTTGTGGCGAGCTTCATGGAATGTCTCTTCATCTATACTTTACCGATGTGGAGAGCGAGATTGGGTTCCTTTACCAGGTATATGGGGTTCTGTTAGATATGCACCGCTACTAGTTTCCAGACATATGGGTCAAGGCAGTTCATTCCAGCCATATGGGACTTGGTAGGGTCGGATTTTGCATTCAAAGGAGTTCAATATAAGGGTAAAGTTATAGGGGTTGCTGAGGCCTGGAAGTAAACTCGTCGTGTGAATCTGTTCACTTATGATCTCGAGTTATCTCAAGAATACGAGCAGTGGAGAAGTGGTCGAGTAAATGACAACATCCCGATAGTGAATCCTGAAAATATTCAGTCGGTGGAGGAACCGTTGAGAGTGGTGCCATCTCCATTAGAGTTAGCTAAGCGTGATTTCGAAGAAGAACGGAGATAATGGAGAATGGATTTGTAGAATTTGGAAGATGAAGTGTATCAAAAGGGATTGGAGATTGACATTTAGAAGAGTAGAGCAGATCGAATTGAAAAAGTGGAGAAACAACTTCGGCTAGACTTTGACGATCTTCGGTCAACTTATCAGCGAATGGTAAAAGCTCAGACAGGTTCTAGCTAGAGTAAGTCATCTGTCGAATGGAGGCAAGAGGTGGCGAGCCTCAAAAGAGTAGCCGGAGAGAGTCAAGAAGAGCTCAAGCAAAGCAGACACCAAGTTAAGATTTTATCGAAAGAAAAGCATTCTTTAGAGCAACGGTTACAAGAGAGTCAAGGCCAGAATGAGAAGTTGAATGAGAAAATTTCAAGTTTAGAGATTGCATTATGACGATACCGAAGCAGGGAAGGTAGTTCAAGTCGTGGGGAAGTTGAAAGTCTGAAAAAACAAGTGAGTGAACTTGAAGCCATGGTTCAAGATTTTCAGAGGCAAGCAAGTGAGCTATCGATAGTTCCTTATGAGGGGGATATACAGTGGCGTTTTCGATGGGAGCGAGCTCAGGCGAGAGTTAAGCAAAGAGAGGACCTTATTGCTTGTTACCTAGGACACGCGCGAAGAATAGCTCAATATTTGGTCATTTTATCTTAGGAATCTGCTGATGTGACTGAAGAACTGGATCACGAGGCTGAAGAAAACCAGAAGGTCGTGGAGTTACTAGCACATGTACAGGAAATAGGAGAGATGGTGCAGATTTATTTGTGATGTAGTTACGACGAGAGAAATGATTTCTCTTATCGAAGTTTTGCTGATGTAGTTACGACGGGAGAAATGATTGAAATGGCGGTTAAGAATGGAAAGCTCAAGGGAGGAGAGTCTAGTAAGAGGCCACCAACGAGGAAAAATGAAAACGAAGTCAGTAATGTGAGGCAGTACGATTCTAATAACATCACTGTTTCCCGTCCTCAAGGAGAAGGGTCATCAACACAAAATGACAATAGACAAGGATCAAGAGACCAGAGGAGAGAGAGGCCTCAATTTGACCCCATCCCGATGACCTATTAGGAATTGTTTCAGATTTTATATGATCGGTATGTGGTTTCGCCGTATCACGTGACACCAATGCAACCTCCTTTTCCCAAATGGTATGATGCTAATGCTCAGTGTGAGTACCATGCAGGGAATCTCGGGCATTCCATTGAGAATTATACTGCGTTTAAGAAGGTTGTCCAAGCTTTGAGAATGAGGAATGTCATCAACTCTGGTGACAATGAGCAACCGAATATAGCCCAAAATCCATTGCCAAGCCATGCAGGGGCAGGAGTTAACGCGATTAGTGAAGAGAAAAAAAAGAAAATTGTAAGGAATGTTAGTGATGTGGTATCACCCATGAGTTGGGTGTGGTGCCAGATGGTTAAGATATGATTGTTGAAGCCCAGTTTGATGGTTGAACAGTTTAACAGTGGAGAGGTATGTCAGTATCATAACAGTGAAGGAAACAATATTCAACAATGTCCTGACTTTCTATCTTTGGTACAAGACATGATGAACAGTAAAGAAATTGAGTTCTTTAAAGAGATTGCTGAAGAAGAGGAAGCGGAAGTTTGCGCTTCAGAAGGATCATCTAAAGGGGCAGTTGTCCCCTAATCATTACTCCCAAGAATCGATTGCCTGAAAAGATAGCTCCGAAAGTGGTTATTACACCTCAATCTCCATTCCCATATCGGGATAATAAACAAGTGCCTTGGAGATATGATTGCTAGATGGGAGAGGTAACAAAAGAGAATGAGGAAGTAGATGAGGTGGGACACTTTACCAGAAGTGGTAGGTGTTATTCTCTTAATCCACCTAAAGAGTTTGAGAAGAAGGTTACGGTTGATAAGGGGAAAAAGG